GTTTGTATACAGCTAGACGGGTTGCAGCCCTGGTGTTTGAGTTAGTACTGGATGTTGTGAGACACAGTATGCTGTATACCGTAGGTGAATGCAATGTAGCCCTCGGCCGTGTGAATTATCTCAACTGTCGTTGAGTTGGGGCGAGGTGGAGGAGAGAGCGACAGTTGGTTTGGGTGAACATTAGAGATATCAGGCAGGAAGGCAGTACCAAGCGCGGCGACTGTTTTCGATACTCTATGAGACACGGCGATTTTGGCAATGACGCAGCGACAATGGGCGCGCCTTCACGAGGCAGTGGGCAAGGGCAGGCGCGAACGGCAAGCGCCGAGGGGCGGCAGCTGCCCCACCGAAACCCGCACCTCAACTGCACCTCAACCACGACGGCACATGCCCAATCCCCGCCCTCTCTAGCTGCAGACGACATAGCTTCCTCTCACCCACTATCTTTGCTTTTACTGCCAGTCACCTTGACCCATGATACCCTACAGCCGACGCCTCAGCACCGCCATCGTCACACGACCAAGCTCCTTCCCGCCGCCATTGTCGCCCTCCTGCATCTAAACGCACCGCATCGAGCCCTTCTCGTTGACTCTGAGCTCGACGAAGATTGAAACATGGGGAAAGACAGCGACGTTCCACAGCCAGGGCCTGCGCGCCTCGCAAAGGGCGCAGGACCCGATGAATGGCTGGAGCAAGCCAAGCAATGCAAGTACTTGCCCGAGGCAGACATGAAGCGACTATGTGAGATTGTCAAAGAATGTCTTATGGAAGGTATGTGATTCGGAATATCAAGACTGCCATGTCGAAAGGAAGAAGAGAAGGTTAGACGGTGAATAGCGCGTGTCTTGAACCGTACCTGGAACCAAACAGGAGACTAACGCCATCCATCAGAATCCAACATCCAACCCGTAAGAACACCCGTCACGGTATGCGGAGACATCCACGGCCAATTCTATGACCTGCTCGAGCTCTTCCGTGTCGCTGGTGGCATGCCCAACGACTCCCCTGCCGCACCCCTCGCGCCGCCAGTCACATTACCAAGCACAATTAACCCCGCCGATCTCGAGCCTCCCACAAGCATAACAGATCCCAAAGTAAAGCGCAAGATGAAGAGGCGGTTCCAGCGCGACCCTAATTACACCGGGCCTACAAGTCCTCCTGGCGGTGATGGCGATGAAGAAGGCGATGACGATGAGGAGGAGGAACGAGGTCGAAGCAGGAGTGTCCACGACAGGCGGAGTATCGGATCCGCATCCGACGCAGACTCGGCCAAAAACACAGTCGGCGGAAACGGCCAGCAGAATTTCATCTTCTTGGGTGACTTTGTCGACCGAGGATATTTCAGTCTGGAGACTTTCACTCTTCTCATGTGCTTGAAGGCAAAGTATGCATACGAACTCGGAATGGCACATCATAGATACTGACAGCCACAGATTCCCAGACCGCGTCACGCTGGTCCGTGGAAACCACGAATCGCGACAAATCACCCAAGTCTACGGTTTCTACGAGGAGTGCCAAACCAAGTACGGCAACGCCTCAGTATGGAAGGCCTGCTGTCAAGTCTTCGACTTCCTCGCTCTGGCCGCCATCGTCGATGGAAAGGTACTTTGCGTACACGGCGGTCTAAGTCCCGAAATTCGGACATTAGATCAAATCCGCGTCGTAGCCCGCGCCCAGGAGATCCCCCACGAGGGAGCCTTTTGCGATCTTGTGTGGAGTGATCCTGAAGACGTAGACACTTGGGCAGTCTCGCCTAGAGGTGCAGGTTGGTTGTTCGGAGACAAGGTGTCTTCAGAAGTATGCATCCACCACGTTCCTCCCTTCATTCTCCAGCTAACATATTGTTACAGTTTAACCACGTCAACGGTCTCCAGCTCATCGCCCGAGCCCATCAATTAGTCAACGAAGGCTACAAGTACCACTTCAAAGACAAGGACGTTGTGACCGTCTGGTCAGCACCCAACTACTGCTACCGCTGCGGAAACGTCGCTTCCATCATGAACCTGGGCGAGGACCTCAAGCCAGAATTCCAAATCTTCAGTGCTGTTCCAGATCATAAGCGTGCTGTCCCAGCTGGGAGGGGAGGTCGCGGAGAGTACTTCTTGTAAACAGCGTTGTGGTGGTGTTTGCTTGTGGATAGGGAAATGGAAAATAGTCGCTGGTGCACGACGAGACGGGCGGATGTGTGTGTATATGCATTCTTACGATATGATGGAGAAGTGGAGACTTGAATGAATACCCCTGGGAAGATGAACGACCGGAATGGAATGTATATGGATTTTGAACATGGCTTGTACGATATGCGCGTTGATGGAGTCTTGTTGGTAGTAGTAGTATAAACGGTATGAATACGTTTCGCGTGAGTTCTCGTTCTTGCCCAAATTGATGGATTTGTAGGCAGTTCTGCTTCCATTCCATCTTGAAGTCTCCTCAGTGTCCACCATCTTTTCTCGTGACAAGTTCGGCACGTATGTAGTAGGTATCTTGGCAACCGATTGGATGATTGCGCTAAGGGATCAATTTTCGGACGATAATGGAAGAACTTTTCTTCGTTGTGTATAGTCCTGGAAGATACTCTAGGCCGAGCTGTCGTTGGCGTGGGCAGCAGCATATGGCGAACGACTGTACACAACAGTAGAATAGTGCGTGTTTCTCAAAGGATTAATTGATACTCGTGATAATTGTGCGACTATGAGGCAAATCGTGTGGACGAATCCTATTTCTCTTCATTGTAGTTTCAATAGAAATAGAAGCTGGTGAGCGGTAGAGAAAACGGACCCCGTGGTCTCGGCCATATCTGTATTGTGCAGGTGATTTACCACCATTATGACCAGTGAGGGACAGTGAATGTGTCGTCTTGTCCGACCAACTCCCGATTAGGCTGGTGCATTCCAACGCTGACTCCCGACAGAAACAACCGAGGATATGAGTTCATCTTTAGCGTGTGCTACTGCCCGTGGCCCGGGACAGTTTTGAAGAAAGAAACCCACCCGGATAGTATCCTTAACCATGTAGAGCTCAACCGAGTCTTTCATAAGATCCAGCTGAGGCGATTTCTTTAGGAGGTTTTCCCATGAAATTCCTTCTATCCGCGTTTTGCCTCCGAACAACAGATCCCTAACTCGAACAGCGTCGCTCGACCGGAAGACATGCAGCTTGCGCTCAATACGTCTGATAATAACAACTATCTCCTCTAGGTATCCGTAGGCCCATAGAGAAAACTCTACTGCTAGCACCATAGAATAATTGGTAAAGAAATTATGTGCGGCAAGGAAACAGCTATCGACATGATCCCAGTATACTAATGGTACGGCAGAGATCATGTCTAAACGGCTTTGCTCGGGAATGTGAAGACTAAATCTGCGACTGAGGCTGAGAGCATGACGCATTCCGCTGTCGTCTACGTTCGTGGCAATATAAACCATCTCTTGATCTTCTTGGATTATGTCGTCGATTGTTCTGGAGTTTGTAAAGGGGATGCGGCCAAGGCGGCAATATGAACTTGGTCCTAGCTTTCGAAGAAAGATGCCTATAGAAGTTAGACTATAGCGCATAAAGAGCACATATTGTCTCGAAGGCGGGTTGCCATCAATCCTGCATAGGCCGGATCCCAGTACAAAGCCGTCTTTGAGGAAAAGGCCTCTGTTTGTGAGGGAGAATTCGGGGTTGCCATTATTTTACCGGCTAACCGTGACATCTGTAGTGTTTGCAAATTGTCCTGGTGACTTCGCGAGAATTCCGACATATGTTGGAACATTGGCAGAATTTCCCAAATCAGGGTCCCACATAAATATGGTAAGGTCGTTACTGCGCTTGATAATTTCTTCTTGTAAACGTCGAAACGCCTTTTCTCCTTCACCATAGATTAAAGGCATATTAACATCAAATATACCAAGGAGGCAGTATGCCAGGTCCTCTTTTCGTTTCGTTTGTCGATTTGACGCCCATGACATCCGTTCAGCAATAGTCGCTCTCAAAATGTCCGTTTTGTTCAGTAGAATATCCGTAGGTATACGAGTGAGCTCGGAAATGGCCTCAGCATGATCGGACTTAGTGCCTACGTGTACCCAAGCGTTATCGAAGATTTCCACGCGCTTTGGCGCAAGCAGCTCTTGTAGTGTCCAGCCTCTGGTGAACCAGCGGCATTTCGATAATCTATCCCCCGGCGTAACATCAAGCGCAGTATCTTCGACGAGGTCTTCGAGTACAACATAACAGACAACTGCTTTTCTATACCATTGAAACATGGAGTTGATCGACTCTGTCAACTCAGCGCTGCTTGATTTGTCAACTGCAGCACGTATCCAACCGGTTAGTAAATGTTGACACAGCAATCTCTGCTCAATCGACCTTTTACCAGGAATCATACTCACTACTCGGAGTTAGTGTGGAAGGCCAAGTCAGGGTCCAGAAGTTCGAACCTGCAGCATGTATCAACCCAGAAATGTTTCAGTTTATCCGAGGCAGCCTGCCTTGCACAGAATGCGATCTTGCCACGACCCCGCTTCTGTATACCGGTTCCCTCAGTGAGATCACGATAGCTAACTTCCTCGTTATCAGGACCCCAGGTGTGTGAGAGTATAGCGTATGGTGGGGTGTCATCCTCGAAGAATTCCACCAGGCTGAGGTTGCCATCGTCTTGAATGTGCAAGAGGCGCATCGAACCTCTTGGTACATGTATGGATAGCAAGGAGAACGACCATCAGTCAAGTATGTAGTGAATGATCATAGATTGAGGAACTAGTAGGAACGCTGCAATTTCGCGCAAGACGTAAAGTGAGAAACACGAGACAATTTAAGCGCTTGGGTCAAGGGCGGGGCATGAACGCCCAAGGCTGAGTCCATGATCACGTGGCGAATGACGCTGATCCTGGAAAGTTCTGGGATATGCAAAGCGAAAATGCGAATCATTAAATCTAGTTCTCTTGATCAAAGTAACAATCAGGGCTGCGCCGTGCATCTACGAGCCTTTGTAGCCGCGCAGCAATATCCAATGTCCCTTAAAGCTCGCTTTTCCATGAGTGATCCTCCGGTAAACCCAATTGCCTCCGCTGCGCATTCAAAATATGCTGCAAGAACACTGGCTTAATGCTCAACACACCAACAAGACTCAACAACAACATCAATACAACGCCCAAGCCCACACCTAGGGCAACAGCATCCTGCTGCCTGCTCACTTTCCTAAACCACGCCTTGGTGTCCTCCAACGCGATATTCTCATCGTGAGATCTTCGCGCACTCATCATGCCCGGCAGCCCATCAAGCGATCGATGATTGTACTGTTTCTGGTAATCGGCGAGTTCTTGCTTCTCCAGCGTCTTGCGCGCCCAATTATCCATGGTGTCACGCTGCTTGAAACCGTTCTCTTCTTCCTTGTCATGGTCGTGGTCTACATAGGTGATAGCGTCACCTGCTGCTTCCTCCGTGTCCGCGGGCTTGCCGCCTGCGAGCTGAGGCACGCCGAATCCGCAGCTGGTCTGGACTTTTTGGATCTTTAACACGATAATGGCACGCGCACCGGTGATGTCGACCGATTCGCCATTCTCTGCTGCCATCTTTGCGCGCAATTGGCCATAGTACGGATCCCATTTTTCGACTACACGTCCTTTGCAGAACAGACGCATAATCTGGGGAGAGGGACCAAAGGAGGAGAACATTACGGTGACACGGCCATTTTCGTAGACGTGGGAGATGGTTTCACAGCCGCTGCCGGTTGCGTCTAGGTAGGCGACGGTCTTCGGGCCGAGGACAGAAAAGGTTCTTGATGGGTGGCCTTTGGGTGAGATGTTGATGTGTTCTCCGGCCCAGGGAGCACTGGCGACGAAGAACAGAGATTGGCGGGAGATGAAGGCGATGTGGTCCTCGGTGAGAGAAGGGTAGAATTTGACCATGTTGAAAGAACTGGGTATGAAAGCAAGTAGCGGTCAAGGTTGAAACTCTTCGTCTTTGGAATGCGATATGAAAGGAAGTAACCAGCGAAAGTCTTGCTTTAGATGAACCGATATGTGTAGGAAAGATCGACGCAAGTAAAAGAATTTGTTTGGAATCTGCGTCGGATAGTCCTCTCGTTGGGGACAAGGAGACTGAAGGTTTAGGGTCGGATTTCGATAATGAATAGGTGGACGAGTATGATGACAATAGTTACAAACAAAACCTCAGTAAGATGAGAAATATGCGAGTCCGGTAATATATCAGTTGTGTATGTTTGCAGATAAGCAAATGCGGTATTAAGATTTGGACTGCAAGAAAGCTGCAATGCACGGTAACGCCGCCTTGCCCCATCAGTATTAGCTCAAAGGCAGCTGGAAGGCTAGTGGGGGCGGGGCGCATCGTCCAGAGACGCAGCGGGTTGCGACACAAGCTTTGTAACGCCTATAGCAATTCTCAACATGGTGCTCGCACTAGCATTGAAGGCCGAATTGAACGGGTGAGTGTCTTGTACCCCCTTTCAGGACTTGGTTAATAGCGATTAGAGTCACCGACCTCCGCCCAAACGACACGGAAGACGCGCCCTTTTTCTACACTTTCAAAGTCCAATGCACGTCATGTCGCGAAGTACACCCCAACCCCGTGTCGGTAAATCGCTTCGAGATGAACGAGCAAAGCGGCAGCAAGGGTGAAGCCAACTTTGTCTGGAGGTGCAAGAACTGTAAGGTCTTTCTGCCCTACACCCTCTTCTCCACGTCCAACCGCTGACATGGCCTGTAGAGAGAACACTCAGCGAACATCAAGGCCGCACCCGCATCCTATCCACAAAGCGACCCGCCCAAGAAGATCAATATCCTCGAGTTTGACTGCAGAGGCCTGGAATTTGTCGAATTCAAGGCTGAGGGAGAGTTCCTTGCGACGGGCATAGAATCTGGCACCAAGTTCTCGGGCATCGAGCTGCCTGATGGCGAATGGTACGACTACGACGAGAAGGCTGGCGAGGAAGTCAGCATCACAAATGTCGAGTGGGAGATACGTCGCGCATAGCATGTGCCCAGTAGTGTAAGATGAAGGAACATGCCACGAGACTTCAAGAAGGGCACAGTATGTGTTACCTGAGCGAGCTCATGCATGAAGCGCATGAGAAGGAGAGAGGACATGGGAAGTCACCATGACGAGACGTTATCCAAGTGTGCATATGCACATGTGAGGTGAAGAGGATGCGAGTGCTGATCACATACATAAATGGACACATTCGTCAAGACAGACTTCTACCAGTACCACTAATCCAACATGATCCGCAGCTCAATTCATACTCTGATAACTCCAGCGAAACCTCCGTTTCTATACGAGTACCCAGGCTCAAGGCTTCCAGCCTCCCGTTCTCGACCTGAACAAACCCCTCGGATCAACCTCATCCGCGACCCTCTTCGCCAACGCGCGACTCTCAGGCCTCAGTCTTCCAAAGTAGTCCTGCCGAAAGAATCCATAGTTCATAAAGATCGGCAAATATGCTTGCGGCAACTTGTCCTCTGCTTGCCACGCCAAAACTCTGTCTCTCACACCCGAATAGGTAGCTTCCATTGTATCGGCCATCTGCTCATATAGTGACTGCGGTGTGAACGCATAATTCATCTCGATGATGATGCGGTCTACATCTGCATCGGCATCGATCAGGTCGGGGCTGAGTTCTCTTGCCTTTTGCGCAATCTTCTTGGGAAAAGGCTGCCATGCGATGGACGCCACGATACCAGGTACGAGAAGTGTGGTGCCGGACACGTTTCTCCAGTGATCATGCAGACCCTCCATGACCTCGACGGCGTTCGCACCAGACGGCAAGGGGATTGTCTCTGTGGCGATGTCTACAACGTTGCCTTTGATCACGACCCAGTTACTCAGTGCCATGAGATCGGCGTAGGTGCGTGTTCGTGTAGTATCGAGAAGAGGATTGACATCGGTAAAGTTCTTGAATAACCCAGCTGGAGGCGTCGGACCATCGTAGAAGAGAAAGATGATCCACGAGTCGACTATGTTGATATTGGCTCGCTCTGCTGTTACTATCACAGCAGCCTTTTCGTCCTCGTTGTACTCTGTCCAATCGCGAACGGCCTGCAGGAGCTGCTTGTCCTTCTTTGGCGTGCGCAGGTATACCAGGTTGCCACCCCAGATGTCGCCCTGTCGATGAGCTTGCAGCTTGTAATTTGTTACTACACCAAAATTGTTACCGCCTCCCTTTAGAGCGACAAAAAGGTCGGGATGGTTGTCGTTCCTGATGTGACCGATTGTGCCATTGGCGAAGACCATCTCGTACTCGAGCACGCTTGAAGCAGCCCATCCATACTGCGTCGACATGTAGCTGAGTCCGCCGCCGAGCACTAGCCCACCAACTCCAGTGTTTCCAATGCGACCACCGACAAAGGTCCACCCTGTGCCTTGCAGTTTGGAAGCGATGCCGTCGAGCCGATTACCAGGACCTACGTCGACGATACCCGTGCTGCGATCGAGCTTGGCCTGATCGAAGTGCTCCATAGCGATGAGTGGGCCTCCAGCCACACTGCTCCATCCATTGTTGGGGTTGTGGCCTCCGGATTTGACGGCAAAAGGTTCGGTGGTGTTGGCGAGGATTCGTACCACCGTTGAAACTTCTTCTACTGTTTTTGGGAAGATGATGCATGATGGGAGGAGGGCAGAGCATGAAGTTGACCAGTACTGAGTTTGCTCTTCGATATAGGCCAAGTTTAGAGCATAGGTGACGTTGATATAACCCAGAGAAGCAACAGATGAACAAGTATCGCCATAGGCCAAAGATGAAAGTAGCAATGTAGCGATGAGATGAACAATTAAGCGCAACATGGTGGACCGAAGACGAATGGCTTGATCGTGATATCCTTAGTATCATCGTGAATTGCCGTTCCATTTATACCCGTCACCAAGGTGATACAGCTGTCGATGACGTCGTGCGGAATACCTTGGAGATGGAGAATCTGATGTGCTTCAAGTCGTGCCTATGCGTGAAACCACGACCAGGTAAGCACCATGTCCAAGAAATGTCCGGTGGGATATGTCAAGCTGTATGAACGACGATCATAACCATAGCTGTCATACCAAGAGCTTTTCAAGATAGTCAGCAACATCGCTTGCTCAAAGAGGCAATGGAATTGGGACCAAATGCTTGCATTGTACTACGTTCAAAGCGGGGTATCGCAACAGATATGTTGAGTTGAAATCTCGTCCTTCTAGGCATGGTCTCTTCCTTTTCTTGTGTTTCATTCGTGTATTTTCAAAATGGTCATTACCCGTGATTGGCGCATCTTTCTTTGCCCCCTGATGGACTTCTCGAGTCAAGCAAGAGCATCTGCAACTCCGCTTACACAGGAGGTTCGAATTGCCGATGCCGGCTGCAGTTGGTAGCCTTGATCGAGGATTTGCAACGGGATCTGGAAGACTCCAAGAATCATCGAACCGACCGAGGAGTATGGAGGGTCGCGTGTCAATAGTTGTTTTCTTGGTCCTCGTTCTCGTAATGTTGTTGTATAGGCTGAATACGTGCAAGCTCGCTTCGCTGCAGGCTGTCACACCCAGAAGGCATACCCGCTGCGGCTGCAGCGCTCAATACGAGATTTAGAGTATTACGAAATCAACTCCAGGACCTGCATTCATTAGCGTAGAATAGACTGTCCAAAAGCGGAGCACTTATGAAAAAAGAGTTTGACCATCCCGAAGGACGGTCAGGAAACCACCCACAGCAACTCCATACTACGCCCTCCCGTTTTCGCACCAATGACACCATAAAAGCCCACGCCGGTAAACAGGCGACGATGCATCCAAGACTATGGCCAAGAGAGCATTGCGAAGAAGGGTGGAGATATGACCGCGAAGTCTAGCTGGATGGAGGAACGAAATACCTGCAGAAACTTGTCGCAGAAGATGACGACAGACAGGTCTAGACCTTGAGCCTCACTCTAGAGAGGTCCTGTCTCCATCTACTGGTTCGAGAAATATTGCATTGTGGCATTCAGTGTCCACCAGCGTCCTGTCATCAGTCCTCCTATCTTTCCTGCGAAGCACTCTTTTCGTATGGTCAAGCCTGAGAAAGCAGATCGATGTAGCCGAGTTTGTGGGTCTTGTGAATGTCATTGGGTTTCCACAGAAGGCGTCGTCGCATCTCCAACGATAACAGTTCCTCTCATCGTCGCAAGATCTTCTTTTCCGTGTTCCAAGCTGCTTCAGCAACAAGGTCCTAGTCAGTTTCGCACAGCAGCCACGCAACACTGACCATTGGACGCATTCATCGTTGGGTGTCAAGCCAAGATGCTTCTCTCTGATTGTGGTAGCATGAATTCCTGAGACTAGTCTTTGTTTCCTCTTCGCTTCCATCGGGAACGAATGGCATGATGATACGGACAAAGGACATCCTCAAAAGCCGCATGGTCGATCGCAACAGCGAGAGAACTGTTCGGTCGGATGGGTAGACGCTCGTCAACTCACACGTAGGCTGAACATACGTGTTGACAATTAACGCGACTGGTCAGATATCACTCTAGAGAGACGAGTGCCGAATAAATAAAACGTGCACCGGCTTCGAAACGCAGCAGAAAACGGCAGTGGTTGGAGATCTGATCAGGACTTTCGTCCTTGTGGGTAAGATGCACGGATAATCCGTCGCCGTGTACTAGTCGAGCTCGAAACGATTGTCGCACAGTGCGAACGCCACGTACTTGATCCAGCGCATGTAGACCCAACAGAATATTCGTGCGCGAAACTTCAAGACATCAGATCCGGAGCGTGACGGTCCGCCAAATTTGACAATACCAACCTGCGGCGTATTGAGACTTCGCTGGGCTTTCTGTCGTGTGTTCCACGAGACTGCCTTTCCGACGAGTGGATCTCACGCCAGCCGAGACCGAACAGGTTGGTACGTCTGAGTGTTAGGCTCGACCGGTGCCGAGACCGCGCTCTTCTTCTGCCTGGTTGTTGTGCGTACGGTGTCTGCTGAATACATGTGATCGTTGGCATCAAGTCTTGCAGCTCCCGTACGACCCTCGGAAACGAGAGATAGTGTTTCGGCGCGATGATTGAACACAAAGTCGACCCCCACGAGGGGCGACCGGCATCTTACATCTGAGCTCTCCTCTTCGCGTTATCGCATTTGTTGTGAAGCTATCTTTCGTGACCAGAGTCTGTTGTACAGATGAGATGCCGACGTGGTCCTCGTAGGAGGACTTTAATACCCCGACAGGCACATGTCATCTCAATTTGAGCTCTCGCTCCCGTACCTCGAGCCTCCCTTTTGCACACAAGCAAGACGGTCCACGTGAGCAGACCTATATGCAGAGGCTAATCGGGAGGTCGGCGACATGACCGCGATGCTATCCATTGTGCTAAAAGCACATCGGACACCAAAAGATGATTAGGGTTAAGATCCGAGCCTGCCCTCCTCACACACAACCCTCGTGTTGCCACTGAGGCGCACAAGCCGGCATACAAACGACCCATCGAGTCCATACCAAGAGGCTCGGGTGTGTGCCAACCGTACAAGTGCGTGAGGCGCGGACGAATCGCATTCCAGATGGAAGGCAGACATCGGTGACTGTGGGGGAATTGACATGCGAGGTGCTTGCAAGCAAGCGAGAGAAGAAGATGTGTCCAAGGAGAGCGTCACGCGACTGTCCCGCCGCAATTGACATTGTCAGAAGATGTTGAAGACACATGTATGGCCACGGATCCAATCGAGTTACGATGAGAAGTAGTATAGTTTGGATAGAGATCAACGTCGTGTAGCGCTGGGTGCGCTGGGGTGGTTGTTGGATTCTTGTCCGTCAGCGCCGGCGAGATGGCGCGTTGCCTCACGCCAAGAGATTCGCGTCGTTCACGCGTCAAATTGACGTTAGCACGTGCGACCCATCCTACCCTTACTAATCAACAATATCCACCTCCATCTGCCCATAGCCATCGTATCTTCTCGCCTGATCGACGAAGAGGAAAATTAAAATCTTGGAAGATACGTTGATACCTTATAAGCTGCCCGAGTGGAGTCAACTACATTTAACACAGGTGGTCCCAAAGGTCGGGCGGACCATTCGCATTCACACTCACAGCCTCGCCAGCACATACAAGAAGTCATCGCGAAACAACTGAGCACGATGGGAGCGGTTGAAGATGCAGTTGATGCGGCGGCTAACTTTATCGGCCCTTTCGTGGACAAAAACCGCAAGTACAGTGCCGACGTTCCTACTGATACTCTTGTCGAACAAGCGCTTGTTCATCTCCAGGCCATCAATACTGCAGACTTAGCCGCGGATCCTAATGCCCCCTACGATGCATCGCTCGCTGGTGTTGTTTATGGTCTCGTGGACCTCATTACAATCCTCGCTGTCATTCCACGTTTGTCTGCTGGTGTTGCATTCAGCCAACGACCAAGATCAGTTCTGACCGCTGTAATCTTCACACCACCAAATCACAATTTGGATGCATTGGCAACTGTAATCGAGGTTCTGTTGCCTATGCTGGAGCAAAAGGGCTCTGGTGTGCAACCGCTAGTGTCCCAGAGGATCCTTCCGGACATCATCTCTGCACTCGTCGAGCTGTCTTACTCTCCTGCTTCGTCCGAGGAAGTAAAGTCCAAGTATTCAGTAGTATACGAAAAGATCATGAAGGATACTCCGACTTCTCGACTGCTCCCAATCTTGACTACGTTTCTCCAGCAGCCTCTTCCTGATTGGCTAAAACCTGCCATCGCCTCGGAACTGTCTTCTATTCCTCTGCGAACACAAGGCGTTCGTCACACCATCGAGTTTCTCTCACTCTCCTACTTGTCAAAGAATTCACACGTACCTCAGGGCGCATCTGGGCCGCAATCGCAGATACCCATTCCCCTAGAAGCTGTTTCGCAAGCTTCAAAACTTCTCGTCTTGCCACCGTCTGGAATCAGCCAGGATCAATGGCTAACAAAGCTTTCACCTCAACTGCTACATCTTCTAGATGGTAATGAGGGTAAGGAACTTAGTCGGGCAGCTGGACAGATTATTGCTGGTGGAATCCTAAGTAAGAAGACAACTGGTGCTCCGGGAACTGTGGGATGGGACACGTTTGCAAAGCCTTTGTTCCAAGCAATCTACCCCAAGAATGTCAGCGCATCAGGATCCTTGCAACATGACACTGGCCATACCATAATACAGGAGAGCAACCTCAAGACAGCATTGAGACGAATCAAGACGATCTTGTCATCATACTCTCATGGCGGACTGATTAGACGTCTCATCCATCCTATTATCCTCCCACTTTGGGCCTTACTCAACTATGCCAAAGACCGCCCCTCGCTAGACAAAGAATGGAGTATGCTTCCTAGTCTCATATTGTCGCGGTACATGGAGATTGCCTGCGATACAAAACAAATTGACAATATCGCAACCAACCTTTTTTGGGATGGCGACAATGCCTGGACGTTTGGGCCTGGGTCTCAAGGCGGCGTCGAGATTCGCACTCGTTCGAAAGACAAGACTAGAGGGATAGATGCTATAGGCAGCATCTTTGGACGGATTAGTGACCTAGATAATAGAGTCACCGTTCTCGTCACGCTCCTTACCGAAGCCAATGTTCCCGATGACGCAGCTGGCTCCATCTTCGTGAACGCTACCAAGCGGTGGCTGGTACCAGAGAAGCCCATGACGAAATCGCTCACAGACGACGACTCTGACACCGATCCGTTATCGGCGCTTATTGACGCAAAGCTGTCGGAAGCTCTGGCGCATCGTTTCCAAGAGAATTTTGCCAGAAGTCCACAGCATGTCATCGACCTTATGGCACAACTGATAACAAGTCATGTGAGCGGGCACAAAGCACGAAAGGAGAAGTCAGTCAAGCTGCGTGCATCCAAGAGAGCGATGCTGAACAATATCGTACCGGAACGTGGTACGATGAAAGATCAGGAAGAAGGTGAGGCTATGGATGACGACTTGGCGACTTTTGCATTAAGCATCCTGAACACGCTACTGGCATCGCCAGAACTAAAGAGAACGCCCGCAGTGATGGAAACCGTAAATGCACTTCTCCCTTCGCTAGCCTATCTTTCGCAGCCACAGTCGCAGGCCCAGCCGCCCATATCGTCTACGATAAGCAACTCCGCCGCCACGACTCTCCATCTCATCGCTCCCACTCCTACAGCCCCATCTCCAGCAGTAAACCCAACGACTGATCCACTAGCCGGGCACCGCGATACCTTGAAAACATGCCTTGCCGAGCTACAATCACCCGACCCTCCAAATCGCACGTGGGCTTTGAACACGGTGCACAAGCTTCTCAAGAACCCGGCTGCGTTTCCCGCCCTCGACATACCGTCTCTTACACATACGCTCCTTTCGGCTTCACTAGCAGATCCAGAGTCCTACGTCCACTTGGCCGCAATACCCGTTCTCGTTACCTTGGCGATACGCGCTCCCAAACCTGTAGTCGGCATACTAGTCGATGCTTTTATCGACATTGACGAGCGATCGCTAAAGCTAGCGCGAGGTAAGCAGACAGAGGAAAAGGAACGAGAGCTCAGGTACGCCTTGGATTTCAGACTGCGTGTCGGAGAAGTTCTCAGCACATTTGTCAGTAGCGGCGACGACTTCTGGAACGCACGCGAAGATAGTGGACTGCGGTTTCGATGCGCAAAGCAAGTCGCCGAAGCTTGCCTTTCGCTGGCGAGTCGGCGGGGTCAACGCAACCAAACGCTCTCGGCACGAACCGAAGTTGCGGAAGATGAGAGGATGCTCAGAGAGGAAGGCGAGGCTGCTTGGGGTGGACCGATACCCAACATTCTTGAGCCTGAGGGCGCGGACCCGCAGGAACAAGCAGAGTATGAGGCGCTGCAGAAGATTGTGAGTGGATGGGAAGACACGGGGATTGAGGAGGATGTTCGCATCCGTGCTTCTGGTCTCAGTGTGCTGTCTGCTGTTCTGGAGCATCGAATGGATGTTTTGCGACAGCCTATGATCGATGCGACTCTGCAGATGGTGCTATTGATTCTTGCCATGGAAAAGGAAGAAGCTAAAGCTCTGTTGCGGCGCTCGGCTGTGCTTGTCATCATGGGCTTGCTACGTGGCGTTGATGCGGAGATAGAGAGTGGGCGGGAAGGCACGGTCGGTCTGAATCTGAAGCAGCAAGAAGAGGTGGAGCGAGTAGTGAAATGGGTACGGGATGAAGATGCAGACGAGCTCGTAAGAGACCATGCAGCAGGTATCGTAGAGGGTTTGGAAACGATGAGGCTCAAGCAGCTGTACAAGATCAGAGACGAAGGTCTCAGACTAGGACCTGACCTTGGGCTGGAGGGAAACCTCCGCGGACTCAATGTCCAGCCTCGAGCTGACAATGAAGAAGGCAAAAAGAAGATGATCATAGAAGAGATAGAGTGATCGGGGGCGGCTTGAATAGTTGATAACATTGTAGCGCCTCACATCCGAAGCTTGGTATCCTGAGTTTTTACCCATTCCAATTGTGCGCCTATCTGCTTGGTGGTATCTCTAGTGCGCATACTACGTGGAGCGCACCTGCTGCCTTGGTGCTACATGCGCATCTGGAAGGGTTGCGCTACATGCAGTGTCTGCGTGCCCCAGATGGGCGCTCGTCATCGCGATCGACGTCAGTTTGTGTCGCGCATCGTCTTGTCTGCCGTCGTAGGCGTGCATCAACCACTCATGGCCGTGTCCTTGGTCGCCTTGGGTTCCACCTCTTCAGCCTTTCCAATCCAGAGAACGTTGTTGCACCTTATGAGGACCTGGCCGAGGGTGCCTGAGCTGACGCCGCCTACGAATTCTTCCGTGTTGGAGAGCTGGATGTTCATGTAGAGGTCGACGGAGACGAGTCTGCCTTTGTACTCGGTCTCGCCCCACTTCAACCTGACGACGATATCTTTGTCGACTCTGCGCATGTGTTAGCGCGTGCTCTGTGAGGAGGGTATGCGACGTACAAGCTTTGGAGCAAAGGACGCGGGTTGAAGGGTGCCACTGCCTGATTGGTATTAGCTTTGCGCGTGACTGCCGGATGGAGAAAAGAGCTTACAGCCATGTTTGCGACTCCAGTAATGGGCTCGCTGGTGGTTAGAGGTGAGTTTGGTAGTTACAACAGTGATAGTCGCGGTACCATGGCGGCCGTGCCTGCAGCTTTGGAAAGTCGTCGGCAAAAGGTATCGCCGATTGGCCGAGTGCTTCACCGCGGGGAAGCCGCGCGACACAAGATCAAGCTCGGGTGGATTGATGGTGTAGCTGAGTCCAGTCCTCTCACGTGTGTTTCACATCATTGCCGAAACAAGGGACGCATGGCATATCCAATTCTTCTCGTCTTCCACAGCCATGGCAGTACATGGCTCAAGGTGTAGAGCAACGCGACTAGTGGGCGCGCTAAGGATTTATTCCATCTTTGTATCATCGAACCATCTGCACCACCTACGACCGGCCAACATTGCACCCTCTTGAGACGACAATCCTGCCGATCAGCTCTTCTGCACGACGCCAAAGCTGCCCACCATCAACTACACCATTGCGCCCACCACGGTGCGCTGTCTCGCCCTGCCGCCCGCGACCCGCTTCTCCGTCGCCCCTCCGTTCTCCGCGCAGCATGCCACGGTAGCAATGCGAGCCATCTGGTCCCGGGCAACTTCGAACCCGGGTACCTGCAGATGCATATCGTGTGTCTCCAATACCACCGCTCTCGCTAGATGTGGCCGACGGACGGCTCTTCGCGGCTCATGGGCAGTAGGCACACCCACGTCGACCTTCGTATATACAACCATATTTGCAGCGGGTCTGGCTGTCGATGCGAAAGCAAAAGCTGCTAGGAACAAACAATGGGACAAGGCATTCTCGCAGTTGGCCGGAAGTGCCCATCATCCGTCTTCAGTAGAAGATTTCAAAGACACAGAAGCTGCGATGGATGCTGTTTCCTTACCCCATGGTAATCACGGCTTGACCTTGGATGATCTACCCAGGGACCTGGACTGGAACGCCCTGCAGCGCGTTGTAGGCATGGAATTGGAAGAAGACCAGGTGCTGGAAACTCAAGAAATCCAGTCGCAAATTCGAGATTACGCCGACTTGGCTTGGGAAGATCTGCAATTCGATTCTAGATTTCCAGGCGTTCAGCAGTTAGATTGGCCAGCAAACACCGGCGCTGATCTTATACGCAACAACTTGCCACCACAGTCATTATGGGCGCCAGATCGAATGCGTGTTATAGCGCTACGAAGAAGACATACATGGAAAAAGTTGGCCATGCAAGAGCTGTCCGTTGGGCTGCTCATACACGATCTGTTGTATCACACCAACGCTACACGCTTCTCTAGAACTCTAAGTGATGAGTTCGCCAAGTTGTCGCACCAGATCCAGGACGCCATATCCATGACCCCGGACCAACGCACGCAATCGCGTCAGAACATATTAGAGGCCCTCGAAAATCTCGACAAGACCCCGGTCGACAGCGAAGTGGATGGTTATGTCAACGCCCGAATCCAGGCGGACCACCCAGCAATTCCAAGATATTATCAAGACCCTGACGGGGACTTTTATGCCATCGCCGACCAAATGAACCAAGGCATCCAAGGCTTGCTCAAGGAAATCCCCCATGGCAGTGACAAGAAAGAAGCTCTGGCGGTTGCAAAGATTTGCCACAACCTTCTTGTCTCCTCCGCTTCCCCTGATTTACAAACATTCAACACCTTACTCATTGGCTTCCGCCGTTGGCGTCGCCCAAAGCTAGTGGATCATGTTGCAGCATCCCTACTGGTCAGCAAGATCCGCCCGAATGAGATTACTTGTCGGGAACTACTCAATCACTATGCTTCTGCAAGACATGGGTACGCTGACGACTTCTCGCGTTTCATAACGAAGATGAGAGGGTTGGACGATGCGCTGATGCTCGCAAACCCCAACATCTCTATCAACGAGGCCAGCCAAGGCCGACTCGTAAGGGTAACCGAAGGGAAGATCTATCAGAAGGTCTACCCAACGCCTATGGTATTCAGCTCCTTGATCACTGGCGTCATGAGATTTGCTGGATTCGACCGAGCACTTGATATCTACTATGAGATGAAAACGGATGGCTGGGGTCTCGACGTGACGGGGCTGACGAGACTTTTGAACGATTGTATCCGCCGTGCCGATTGGGAAGGCGGCTTGTACGTGTGGGGCGAGATAAATAGCATCAACAAAGCCAAGATCGAACCCCATGACATGGCCAAAGCATACTCCAACATGCTCAGCTTATGTTCCATCACCGGCAACACTGTTGCTTTCAACCAGATCCTGAATGATCTGTCCAAAGCAGGTTTCGATCGCGGGGAAATTCTGGCTGCTGCTGCCAAGGCAACGGGTGTAGCGCGAAAGAAGAAGGAATACCTCGCTCCTGCTTGGGTCGCGGACAATGTCATGATTGCCGCGTCCGCTTACGTGAAGGACGCGCGATCGTCTGGGCCGGAGGGACCGCTCGCACCAGAGATGATGGATGATGATAACACCATGTTCTCTCAACACGAACCTGATGCAATGGGAGACATCGAGCATAATATTGCTGAGCCTAATCCTAAAGAACTGTGGGCACAATGGCTGGAACGTGAATTCGGGGAGAGACCGAAGGAACCTGAGCCATGAGCCAGAACCAACCTGTACGATACGACATCGTGCGTGTAAACCAGTGTATATATTATAGCCCTAGAAGGGCTTCTTTATCAAATGTACATCATAAAGTCCATTGACAGTTCTTTGGCACAGTCAACCACAAAAGAACTCACGGATGCTGGAAACAGCGTCCACCCATTTCACCCTGCGCGTTCGCCCGCTGTTGCCGTCACATCCATAAGTTAGCTCATTGACGGGTCTCTACCATAAAAACGTTATCGTGTTCGAAATTCAAAATGTCACCCGACCGTTGCTTTGCCGGTTGTCTATTTAGATTAAACGCATGGGCAGCTTCATTTATCTTCTCGCTTCTGCAGCTCCATCACCAACACCAACGTGACTCTTTGGCAAGAGATATGTTGGCACGGCAGGTATTCGCTGCCAACTTCTGTTGCGGTCTTGGACATTTTTGACGGGGATGCGTGCGTAAGTGCAACTTTCACTTCGCTTTGCTAGCACACTAGAGGAACACCGTATTTCTTCCATCTAGAAGTTTATGATCAATGTCTGGAGATGGAAACTTCATCTAGGTGAGAAGAGAATCTATCTATGCAGCTTCTTTCTAGCCGAAAGTGGCAGCTGTTCTCCGATAACGTTGCTTGCATATCTGAAAATAGAAAGATGCACTATGGAGATCCTGCCAACGGCGATTTTACAGCAGGGATGCGCAAAGGAGTCCTCTGCTGCCTCTCGTTTCTCAATCGGCTGTACGGCTACAAGCATCTTCCCCGGACTATGCATGTTGATGGTTATGGGTTAGGAGTGCTTGCGTATGTATGATCTAGACTTTGGTTATGGCCAACTCTATCTCACAGTCGCTCGAGTAGCTAGGCATTCGCCTATCGTAGTGTCTCCAGATTTTGCCTGATCTAAACAACCACTGGTTAGCCAGTCTAACGTCGCATTTACGGCAGATGGTACCTTTGTCGAAAGCTTGTGCGATGTAACAACAACGCTGATCAGAATAGCACAAGCCTGCACGATCGATTCCTTGCTTGCTTTGGAGAATGATGTGCAGGGTCTTCCTGTATAGAAGCTGTTCCATGCTGCATACGCATATTAAGGTGTGGGTTGGGCTAGAACGTGCTTTGGAAGTTGGGAGCCCGCGCATTTGTGCCCGTGGTGCTCCCGAGTTATACTGGGGATGACCACTGTTGTGACGCAAGATAGTGTCCTGGATATACTTGATTCATCGTGATAGTACCAATAGAACGACGTCGTAGCTGCGCTAGAGCATACTGGATGATCGTTCCTGTTGCCTGTGCATATTTGACGACAAGGGAATCCATCTAGCAAATAGGAGAGACGAAGTGTGAAGGACACGAGAGTCCTTCCTAGTCCTGTAATGTAAAGTTGACGATGTGTCTTCCCTACGTTTGTCGTATTTGGTGGTGGCAGGCACCATGTTCAAAGTGAATACCAGCAGCATCGACCAGTGCAGTACTCCAGAACATTGTTTATCTCAACCTCTCAATCACCCCACATTTAAAATCCCAGTCAAATATACTATCCAATCTGCATACTCGCTTGACGCTGGCTGGACCGAGCATTCCCTAGCCACAAGAGGTTACGCAAGTACTTTACCCAGAGTGCTGCTTCCGTATCCAACAGCCTCGAACACTGACTATCCGCCCACCATCTTGGGTAGCTAGGGAGTGGCAACATCGCAAAGGGGCTGTCTGAAGTTTGGTTCAAATGATGCGCATAAATGAAGTATGCCGGTTTTTCTCCATTCTTGTGCCTCGTCCTTGCTATATATCGGCCGCGCAGACCCTGAGATTTCGCCTTGCAAGCGAACCCCACCCATTTCTTGTCCTTTTCCAACAATAGCAGTTTACTGAATAAGAGAAAAGACAGGAGTTAAGATGCAGTACCGTTTTGTATCCGTTCTTGCTGCCGGTGTGTTGGTTGGTGTCACTAGCGCCGCACCTGTGCCTTCAGCTGAGGTTCGTCATCACCGTCTCGTCACCACGCCCTTGCGCCTACTAACGTACCCTAGACGCAAACGTTCGGCAATGATCCAGCAAACACCATCGGGTTAGGCAAGCCTTCCACAGTCATAACTTGGGGCAAGCGCGACAACTCGCCCACCAACCCAGACGACGTGCAGCTCGGTCCACCAACATCAGAGATCATCTGGAGCAAAGACAAGAAACGCAGTGTCTCTTTTGGAACACCAAAGGACACTTTCACCATAGGCAAGCCCACGACGGAGGTTACATGGGAGAAGAGAGACGAACCAGATACTATCGAAAACGGTGCACCGACGACTGTTGTGACGTGGGGTAAGGAGAAGCGCGCCGAGGTTGTGCAACCTGACACTATCGACTTGGGAAAACCTACTACTGAGGTTACGTGGGGAAAGAGGGATATGACTGCTGCTGTCGATCCCGCCGATAGCATTGAGCTTGGAAAACCCAGCACGGTTATCACTTGGGGCAAGGAGAAGCGCGATGATCCTCCCGTGTTGGGCCAGCCGGATTCAGAGACAACGTGGAGTAAGCGTGAGGCTGAGAAGCCAAAGGACGTCTTCAAGTTGGGTAAGGCTACTACGGTTGTAACGTGGTCTTGAGTGTGTCGGTCGGTCTTGTGGTGAGTCTGGTATCGTTGCTCTGATGGTAACTATATGTTAATGATATTACAGCAACTAGACAATGTAATCTTCTGATTGAAGTTTGTAGAGTTTGGAGGCAGATTCCACTGTCGCTACTTCGCTGAATCTTGTGGCTGGGGTACAAAATTCCGAAATCTGTATGGCCCCCTGGCTGTTTAGTTGTTCCAATATGTCTTCGTTCAATAGCTTTACTTGTGTAAAAGACTTGGTGATGCATTGAATTATGTGGAATTTGCTAGAAATATCCGGATCGAAAACCAGGTACACATGAAAATGCATGCGTGCTGGCAGCAGGAGTATATCTCCTATCGCTTCTCATAGTTCTGCTGGAGGTTTCGTAATCTTTGTCAAATGATCCCCATTAAGCTCTTTCATGATCTTTCCTAGACCTTCATGACTATAGTCCTTCTCGTTCCACATATCCTGTCCAAGGTCAGTAGTTGCCTTTTGTCGCCACTCAAGAAGGTGCACACGATGCGCTACCCATGACTATCAACGTACCTTATGATACCGCACTTTACCATCCTGATCAAGCGTCAAAGTGATTAGGCTGTTGACCTTCTTCGAGATAGGCATAGGCTTGGGTGTATACTCTTGCTGAAGCTTAAAAATAATTTCATCAGGCTTCGACGAAAGCACTTCCGTCTTGATTGTCCGGCTACTCTTCATCAGTTTGGGAATGCCTGTTACCTGTCAGTAGAGTAATCCCTTCGCGCTAGGCTTTCTGCTGTCAGCTACTGACCATACCACTGGCCTGCAATCTTGTATCTTGTGTCGCAGTAGCTCCAGGGATCATCGTATACCGCTTCTTTGCCGTAAACCATCATGTCGTCTTCACTTGCGCTCCCGGAGTAGAGGTTGCATATCGATTGTACAATCTTTTCGCGCTCGGGATTTAGTTCGATCGAGTTCTCTGGGTGAGGCTCATAGTCAACGCCTGAAGAGCTGTTTTGCGACTCATCGGCGTTGTGCGTCAGAGCCACTGGGTCCGGTCGTTTCTCGAACTCGTCCTCGAGGCGTGATGCGAGTGTGCCCTTTCCGGACTTTCCTGTCACTGGGAGCGTCATCTTGTTTCCTGGAGGGAGGTAATTGTACTTATATAGCCGCTGGTCTGTGAAAATGCTGCTTTTGATGGACACAATATCTTGACGTCATGGCTGGCTGCGTTTACGAACGCTCCACGGACCACATAACATGTACCTTGAACCGTCCAATAGTGGCCATGCTTTGTTCATAATAAGCGTCACATTTGTAAAACAATGAGATCAATAGTTCAGACAAGCCAAGAGTGCAATAAACAGTGTGCTATCCATCGATGTGAATCGGCCATTTCTCCACAGCCTCGTAGACTAGCAATAAACTTCCCATAAGATAGACTGTCGGCGCCCAGACCAGAGCAAGTGTGCTCTGGTACTCGCACCATGTTGCACTACAGTATCCCAAACAAGCACTCCATACCCATCCTACACTGCCAACCAGGTTTGTCATTCCCACCCACCACCCTATCATCTTAGGAGCGGGCTTCCACCACTGTCTTTGGACTTCGAATATGTATAATATCGATGCGACGAAGAAGCAAATGGCGCCCAGGAGGAAGGAGGGATAGTAGAGCCCGTACAGTACGCCTTGTGGAAGGGTATCATAAATTCCCGGTAGGGTGAGCAGATTGGTGACCCAGTAAATGGCTGTCCCAACAAAGAGGATGAGATTGGCATTGAAACCAATCTCCCGACGGTAGTGGACGCGAACATCCTGCCACGTAGGCCACCATTTCCAGGTCTGCTTGGGTCCCGACTCGGGACGAGCTTCGACTTTAAATGTCTTTGTGTGCATTATCCGGTGCTTCATGCGGTCGGGGTTGTGAATATGTGTGCAGTTTCGAAGGTCAGGTTGGAAGTCAGAGCTATTTGTGCCCTTCTCTCCGTCGGCAGAAGCGCGGTCAACATTCTCGCCATCAGAATTCAGGGCTCCCTTTAGTGCCCAACCGAAACAGTCGCTTTGGTTTGCGTTTACGGCTTCGACGACAAGGAGCATGCCACCCAGCAGAAACAGCATGCCACGGACGAAGGATATCACGCCGCTAATGATGGAGGGGTCGGCACCAAATGACGCGTCTGGGTATGCGATCGGGAGCCATTGGAGAACACCGGCTGTTATGGAGCACATGGAGCCAATAGAGAAGACGATGCCAATCCACCATGACACATCCCACCAGGCTACGACTGTAAGCATTCGGGCAAACGCTCGAAGGAGGCGTGTTGTGCGGGCGGTGCGCGAGGGCGCTTGAGCGTGGGTAAGAAGGAGGATATGTCGACCTAGGAACAGAATTCGTTAGCATTCGATGCCTAGGTCAGCAGGCATCTAGCCACGCACCTTTTCGATTCTCACGACTCCACCACTCCCATTCGGTTCCACTCGCGTGTCCTTGCTCATCATTGACGGTGAACCGCCGCGAATTGGCATTCTGAAAGCTCAAGACTTGATTGGAACTGCCCTCGATGTAGTCGAGCTGCGGCGAAGAATCCTGAGAGGAGAGCTTGTGGTCGCTAGGCGCAGACATGTATTGGGTACGTTGATGTGTGAAGGAACTGCAATTGGGTTGGGCACGGGAAGGACTTCATGCCCCTTGTCACCGCCATGTTTTCTGCCCCATTTTGTAACCCTGGAAAATCGACGTCTCGGAAGAAAAACCTCAGGCCACTGCCTCAGAGATGATGATGCGTGATGTCATGGTGTGGAGAAGTTGGTGTCTGGGGTCTGGAGCTGTCTGCTAGCGTCTGGAGGCTTCACATGCCAAGGCAATGCTGCAAAGATCGCCATGACTAATGCGAGATTGGCATCTCACCTCTGAGCATCGTTCGTGAAACAAACCAAGCTTCCGGAAATCGCCCGTATCAGTAATCCTTCCTACGCTGCTGTAGTCTCTGACTCTTTACACGCGAATAAGATTGCAATGCAAGCGCGCGTGAAGGAGTTCGGGTCAATGCGATGCGATCCTTCTCGCCTGTATCTGGTCCTCATAAACAGTCCCGCACTCGCTGCGCGCCCACGTTCATCAAGCGCAGAACCTTACATTTGCAGCTCCAGTCGTCTTTCTTACACAAACATATGCTAAGACACTTGCGCAGGGCCGAACACAGGTCATGCCCAAGACTGGTGGGCTTCCACAGCCCACGGGTCTACCTTGCTGGCAGTGTCTATATGAAAGCGCGACGCGTACAATATCTCTTGGCTTTTGTGTATAGTCTTCCAAGCGATGCCGTTAGATTGTTTTCGCTCTAAATTCCAATGGAAAAGTAGCGATGGCTTCATTTCGGGCGCTTGGTAGGACGGCTGCTTCGGCGCCGAAGTGTACTCATGCAAACAACTTTCCCACCAAACGGCACACTCCGGAAGTGTATAGGAAGGTAATGTATCCATCAGGTATAAGACTAGCGATGCGCACGCTCTTGTAGACTGTAGAACAGTAGTTCTTACACCAAATTCCATAACACGTTCGTTATCACCTCGATTCGCCATGGGTCTTCGCCACTCTTTCAAGCCCCAAGGTGCACTTCGCCTTTTTTCCAACATTGTCGTTGCTGGTTCTCTTCTCTCTGGCGCAGTAGCTCAGGATGATTCTACTAGGCTCCGAGACTGCTTGAGCAACACTAGCATCCTGCCCTCCCTAACCACCTTTTCTGATGCCACAAACTGGGAGACCGTCACCTCCCCATGGGCCCTACGATTCAATCCTGAACCAGCCGCTGTTGTTGTGCCTCGCAATAGGGATGAAGTGGCTGCTGCTCTAGCTTGTGCCGTCGAAGCGGGTGTAAAGGTTTCGCCATTGAACGGAGGACATTCCTATGGAGCCTATGGCCTTGGAGGGGTTGACGGCGCACTTGTGATCAACATGGAGCGCTTCACCGAAACCACCTTTGACTCGGCAAAAAACCTGTTCACGTATGTCTTATCAAAGCCAAGAACTAGATCCATTATGCTAACAATCGCAGTTACGGCGGAGGAAGCCGAGTTGGACCTGCTGCAACATGGCTCTGGGAAAACCATGGGCGTCACTTCCCTCACGTCCGAGCCAACTGGGTCGGTCTCTCCGGTTCGTCCATTGGGGGTGGCTTTGGTACCACCAGTCGTTTCCTCGGCACCCCGATGGACAACCTCGATAGTGTTGACGTGATGCTTTATAATGGCACTATCGTGACTGCCTCCCGCACGGAGAATCCCGACCTGTTTTTTGTCATCCAAGGCGCTGGCTCATCCTATGGTATCATTCTCTCTCTGACTACCCGTACCTGGAAGCCAGAGTTTGAGATTGCCACCAACTTCACAATCTCGCTCGGTGCTGTAGACATTGATACCGGTGTCCAAGCCTTGATGGATATCCAAGAGTGGGCCATGACTGAGGCTCCCGATACCTTCGCTCTGCGATGGCAGCTTGCTGGCGAGTGGAATGGCAGTGGCTACTTCTACGGTAACCCAGATGAGTTCGATGCCCTCTTCGCAAGCCTTGTTGAACGCCTCCCCAACACCACGACTACGACCAAAACAACTGCAGACTTCTGGGCCATGGAAAATTTCGCCGCTCCCCTACTCAACGGAACCGCCGACACCTTCCCTCCGCGTAGCATGTACCTGCAAGCCCTTGTTCTTCGCAAGGACCAACCTTTCACATTTGAGTCTGCTAAGGCTCTGTACCAGTACACCACCCTCGCGTTCAACCGCACTGACCTGACCGAGTTCGGCTTCCTGGACTTGTGGGGCGGTGTCTCCCGCGATGTCGATGACTCCAAGCAAGCCATGGCATACTCCAACAACCAATGGCTCATCCGCTGGGAGGGACGCCTCGCCAACGGCCTGACTCAGTGGCCCGCTGACGGTATTGAGTACATGCAAGCTGGTTTCAGACCATTCAAGGAGCAGCTGAAGAAGGAGGGTGTACCGCTTAGGGGTTTCGTCAACTACAGAGACACTGAGCTTTCTCTTGAGGAGTGGAGCGTCAGACTCTACGGTGACAACTTTGAGAAAATGAAGAGGATCAAGTCGCAGTTAGACCCCCAGGGAGTGTTCACCACCCATGCGCAGAGTATCCCCTCATCGTGAGCAGTTCTCGATTAGGTTACAGAGGCGTTCATGGATGAAAGACAAGAAGACGTGAAAGACTGGATAGCAGTGGGATGGTGTGTACATATTTCGAAGACGTAGTTGTAAATATATTGTTGCCGATATTGGAAATTCCCGTTCACAACATGGGATGGTTTTATGCTGGTTTGCGATGTGGGTCCAGGGTACCGCGACACCTGGCTGGCATTTTGTTTGATTATAAGTTATATACAAGAAGCTTCGGTACTTTTGTCATACATCGCATAGTAAGCGACGTCCATTAGCGCTGACAGTCTAGCAAGTCAGGTCGAAGAACGGCGTGTTGTTCTCCTTGGGGGTGATAGCGAATGACAGGTCCGTTTGGGCAGCGTTCGCATCCTTCAGAGTGTACCAGAAGGTGTTGCGAGTGCCAAAGAGGGAGCAGCCCACCTCATCCCAGTAACGCTTGGAGTTCTCAAGAGACGCAACAGCAGCGCCAGAGTTGGGACCAACTACACAGGAGTTAGCATCATGGCGTTCGAACAAAGGTTGCATAGTATAACTTACTTCGTGGCCATCCAGTCTCGGTGACCCACACAGGCTTTCCACCAGACACACCCTCAGTCTGTCCTACAGCGGCGAAGAAGTTCTCGCGAGCCTGATCGATAGAGTTCGGCTTGGTAGTCTCGAAATACGGGAAAGAGTTGTGGCCAAGCCAGTCGACAGTGTTCGCAACACCGCGGTTCTCAGGAAGAACCCAAGCAGTCCATGTGTCTACATGACCGATGGGCTTGCCTTCGAGCGCAGTGCCACGGAGCCAATCGCGCATCCAGCCGATGTAACCCTCGATCTCAGTACCAGTTGCACCAACACCGGCGTTGTTTTGTACACCCTGCGGGCTGCTACGGTACAAATCTTCAGATCCCACGCTGATACCGATGACCTTGTCGGTGAAAGCGCTACCGAGGTCCCTGGCACCTCGAATCAAGGCGTTGAGTTCATTCTCGTAGGCAGCACGTCCGGCGCTAGCCCAGAGACCAACGAGAATCTGTGTGTCGGTATCGATGGCTGCTTGGAAGGCAGAGATGGGGTCGGCTGCGGTGCCGCACTGGACTGAGGTGTATAGGCGTGCTGTGTTGAAGCCTGAAGCTCCGGGTAGACTCTTCGCCTCATTGAAGAAGCGCACAAAGTCGTTGTATCCACGGCATGAGCCATCTGCGTTGGTGGCGCCGTAGTTGAAGCCCTTGCTTTGCGCAACGGCGGTGGTCGCCAAGGCGACGATAGACGCAGCTTTTGCCCACATTTTGATAGATTAGATAGTCGATATTAGATGGGTTTGTCGGGTACCAATTCGGTCTGAGTACAAAGAAATGGGAAACAATCGACACTTTATGCCTACATGGAGCCGGGGTTCTAAAATAGAATGTTTGCCCCTGCGCATCATCGCGGGCTGCATGCCAACCCAAATGACGTGGATGAGGCTCGTACTTTTCTTTGCCAAGGGCTGTTGAATGTCGATCTTCCGAGTGCGATGCTGGGCGAAAAGCAATTCAACGTGCGGCTCTGCAACGGAGAATCGCACCATCGTTAACCTTCACCAGCTATAAGTTGACGATGTACAAAGCATGTTGTCGTGCGTATTCATTTGAGAAAAGTCGCAAAGTCGATGAGGTGGTCGAAACCATTGTTGGGAAACAGCTGTCACTGTGTGCCATGCACGCCGGCACAAATGGAAACCACTACTCGGCAGCCGGTTCTTTCAGCTGTGCGTTGGCCTCGAACGCGCGGTGTGGTGAGAATACGGTCAAGCTGCAGCTGCCCAGACGGAAGATGTGGGGTAGGGTTCTTAGCAGTGCGAGAACCACAGACCACGTTTACGTGGCGGACAATTTCCCGCCGCCCCTAACAGCCCCAGGGCTCTCACCAATCCTGGGGTTTGTACATATCGTAGCGTGGATCGAGCTTTGCCAGGGTCGAAGACTTTCGAAAATCCGTGATGAAAATCAGCTGAATTGAAGCTTCTTTAAACAAACGTTCTAGTATGGAAGAGTGGAAGTATGCTGCTCTGAATGCAGACCGCCCAGGCGAGGCTCACCGGTAGCCTAGCGCGGCATGGGCTTTTCCAGCCATCCCGCACGGTGCGACGCATAGCAAGTTGCTTGTCTGGACCTTCTTTTTGCTTTTCGGCCGACGAAAACACGATGGCCGGCCCAAACTTCTCTCATCGCTGACCAACAGTGATGGTACCGATGCGTCACGTTGATGCCAGTCTGAACACAACGGTTCTGCAATAGTCTTCGACCAGGAGGTTGGTAGAATACCACGATGTTATCAATCCGCAAGTTCGAACATTCGAGAGTAAACGTCCTACGATATATGATAAAACAAGAGTATTATACACGTCTAGTGTAGCTGTTAACTACGTGTACATAGGACAGAAAGGCAACGCAAGCGTATATAACAGAAAGATCTTATTTAGTATGGTATACTGCTCCTTAATGAGCTAAACTTATATAGGATATTCGTTAACACGTTAAGAAAGATTATCTTTGTCAAACGCGATCGTAGGAACTCGTAGACGCAAACAAACACTATACTATACCGGCACTAACGTAAAAGACGACGCTGTACCTTCGTTTGACGCGGCGATACTCAACTGATCTCCAAAGAGCTGCAACACATTTTGGTCCCTCACACTACACGTCAACGTTAGATCCGCACTAACGACGCAAGCGACTGGAGCCTCATCATATGTTTGAGCCATCGTAGGATCCGTTAGCCATACGAAGTGGTAATAGACAAACTGCCCAGGTAAATCAACTACGACGCTGAGCTCTGAGGACAAGCCCACGACGCTGAGACGGCAAGAGTCTGTGAAGAAGAACTGTGCAGCGCCAGCAGCGGTAGTGGACCTGAGGTTGATGGAGAAACGATTCTGAGTCGCCGAGTTCACTGTTGCGAAACTGTTCGAGGCTGAAGCGAAGAGAGCAAAGGAGCTGGTGGAGGTCGGGCAGGCGCGAGCAGCGACGGTGGCGACGGTGGTGGCGGTGACGACTTTGGTCGCTGTCACTGTGACGAGAGTCGTTGGTGTTGCGGTGACCTGGTCAGACATGTTAGGAACCGAGCAGGTAGAGGGTAAAATCTTCGAAGAGATAGACTTACGGTGCTGGTCCGAGGTGTCTCGATGTATGAGCAGAGCGTCTGCACGACCTGCTTAGCTTCCTTGAGATAGCTCGACCATTGTGCATCTATATTTAGCTCTTCGAGACCTCTTCCGTGGTCTTGCGCAGGCTGGGGTGGATTGATAGCCGGTGTCGTGTTTGCTCGCCTGATACCCTGGGCAACCACAGTCGTTGTGACTACGACGGTAGTGGTGGCGGAGACGATGTCCGTTGTTGTTATTGGAATGGCCGCCGCAGTGACTGTCCGAGTAGAGACAGGGATCGAGTACCTAGAGGTACAGAACTTTTGTGCCGGTTGATAGTTTTTCAAAAGAGGGACAAGTAGTTTGTTGGCGCCCTGACTGCATACACTATTTGTCGCGTACACTGAGCTGATGAAGCTTAACACTATAGCGAGGGACTTCATGATTGTTGTGTGCGAGGACAGCGTGCATCTCCTCAACGTAAGACATTGTTTTTATAGAGGGCCATCTTAGCAATATCCTACACCCTGGTGTATGCTACGGGATACCCGAGCTGCATATTACATAGGGCCTATTCGGTGTGCAAGAGGTAGTCCACGAAATCATATCAACACCTGACCAAAGATGAAGATAGACTAGCCAGGTGTGGCTGACTTGCCAGGGTATAAGAGCCACGCAGCAGCCTTGACAGCTGGTCATGCAATGCCATAGTACGTTTCATCCAAATTTCGACTGGCTCCAACAGAGTGACTGGAAGGGAAACTCTTCAGCCCGGTCTGGATCGTTGTTTTTGCTAGAGGGCACATGTTCAGCTGTGAGGCCACAAGCCACGAGTGCTTATCAAACGCTTTGGGGAAGAAAAGAGAGCCAATCACAGTAGACAAGGCCGCTTAAAGGGTTTCCTAGTCTACGGAAAGGTCAAACGCTTGTCTTCTTCGGCATGTAGTCTTTGTGGGTGTAAACAGATGTAGTCGACGGTGTTCTAGGGTAACCTTTTTCGCAAGGCTGTGCCGCTTCAATACGACTCGAGGCGCATAAATGTATTGGGTTGACGTCCGCATTAACTTGCCACACCCGAAGCAATTTTTGGAGACCTGATCGACTATAGTCTTTAAGGAAAATACTAACCCTAGCTCCGCTTCAGCATTTGAGAGCTGATACCTCGGCCGCCAAGGTGGCGCACCCTTTAATGTATGCTAGACTGCCCCTAAGTTTAGAACGTTAAATACTGTAACAAGAGCTTAAGACACATGTCCTTTAAAAGTGCTAAGTACGCGCTAAACCTGCTTATAAGAGGCGCTTTGCTTTATAAAGTAAAGTAAGAATAATTCTTTTTACAACCTATACTTATAGTCTAAATATATAAGCTATCTTCTACTATTCTTAGTAACGTAAAGTAAGCACTATTGCCTATAGTTACGCCTTACAGCTAGTCTTAAGAACAACAAGTTAAAGCGTTAAGCTTCTTACTATACTTGCTTAGTTAATACGTAATTGTAAATTAGAATTAAGAGAGGTATTTAGACTACTAAGCTTAACAGTAGCTTAGCTATTTTGTAGTTGCGAAGTACTATAGATTCTTGTAATCGCTAAGCACAGTAATAGAGAAAGCAGCGCTTTCTAGTTTAGGTCTCTATTGTTTAAAACAATAAACAATAGCAAGCAGTTCTTTATTATAGATTTTGTAGTTGTTCTCTACAGAGTTTATTCTTTTTAAGTAATAGGCTATAAGATAAAAAGTACTATTAGGTACTATCTAGGAGAGTACTCTAGCTGTAACGTAGTTAGATACGTTTACTTTAATAGTAATTAAGAGGTTAAAGTTAAAATGCTGTAGTATTAGCGTAGTAGTAAAGGCGCGCTTTAATGCGTTAAAAGCCTTCTAATAAGCTTTGTTAAAAAAGAACTTTGTGTCTTTCTTAGTTAGAGCTATAAGCAAAGCAGCTAAATAGGAGAAACTATCTATAAATTGTTAATAAAAGTTCGCAAAGCTAAGGAAGGCTCTAACGTCCTTAACGTTACTTAAGTATTCTTAGTCTATAATAGTCTAAACTTTCTTTAGGTCTATCTATATACTATCTACTCTAACTACGTAGCTAAAGTAAGTAACTTCTGCTTAGTAGAACTTACACTTATTAATATTTAGTTAGAGCCTAGCTTCTCTAAAAGCGTTTAAGACAGATCTAACATACTCTTTATATTTATAGAGAGTCTCGCTATAGATTAAGATATTATTAAAGTAAGTAGTGCAGAATATATCTAAGAACAGGCGCAATACGTTGTTTATAAAGTGTTAAAACGTACTTAGCGCGTTAGCTAGTCTAAAAAGCATTACAAGATATTCGAATAGTCTATATTAGGTATAGAAGGCTGTTAGCTATTCGTCTCTTTTAGCGATTTGAAGTTAGTTAAAGGCAGCGATAATATTAAGCTTTGTATAGTATTTAGCCTTATTTAGTTAACTTAGGGTCTCTTAGATTAGCAAGATTAAGTAATAGTTCTTAATAGTAACTGCGTTTAGAGTATAGTAGTTAACGCAAAAGCGTAGTCTTCCTCTAAGTTTCTTAACAAAGATAATAGGTAATACAACTAGAGAGGAGCTTGCTTAGATAAACTCCTTAGAAAAGTAGTCTTTAAAGTACTTACGTAGTACTTTTAGTTTATCTTAGGATATACTATATAACAGGCTAAACCTATATTGCTTGTCTTTTATTAGTTTAATCTTGTAGTTATATAGTTGTTATATAGGTAGTTTATTAGAGTTCTCTTATAAGAAGACGTCTATTAAATTATAATACTTAGAAGGGACTTTTGTAAGTAGATTAGTATACTTCTTTATAGCTAGTGCTTTATTAATGTTAGTAATACTAACAGCACAAATCTTATAACCTCTTTTACGTGCTAGGCTTATAAATAGGGCTGCGCCTATATAGTAGATATTAAGTTCTAGCTGTAACTTTAACAAGTTATCTTAATCCTTAGTAAACAACTAGACAGCATGCCTGCATTAGGAAAGATATGTACCCTATTTAGGTAATCTAGTGTGAGGCGTAACTGTAGGCAATAGTGCTTGCTTCACGTTACTAAAGACAGTGGGAGATAGCTCATATATTCAGACTACAGGTGTAGGTTGTAAAGAGAATAATCCTTGCCTCGCTTTGTAGAGCGAGGCGCGCCTTATAAGCAGGTTTAGCGCGTACTTAGCTCCTTCGAGGGACGTGTGTCTCAAGCCCTCGTTACA